TCTAGTGACTTCATCACCCACTGCAAGGCCGCGGATGACATCGTTCTCTTCTCGGGCAGTATCATCGAAGCAGAGACGATGTCGAAGGAACTTAACAAGTGGGAAAGAAGATCGAATTGCGAATCAATCGAAGAAGACTCAGTTTATGAGGAACGCCCTTTGCGAAGATAAAATGGAACTGAAAGGCACTCCTATTATGGAAACTCTTACACGTATCTGGGACGTTCGATCAACATGGAGAAAGACTTAAGGGAAGAACTCAACAGGAGAAGAATAGCAGCCTGGATCGCCTTCGGGCCTCTGAAGGAAGCCACAGACCAACTGACGGACCTGGAGCTTCGTGCCCACCTGTTCGGCTCAACCGTTTTCCCGGCGCTCTGTTACGCAGCTTAGACTTGGGCCGACACTGCAGGCACGTCGAATGCTTTTCGGACCACCGACAGAGCGCTACAGCGCAGTTTTCTGAAGATGACCCGACACAAGCAACATCTAGTCGGATTGGTGCGGATATGAGAAGAATGTTCCGTTTTCGTGACCCAGCGGAATACGTTGCGAAGGCGAAGCACCGATGGGCCGGTTACATCATGAGAAGAACAGACGACAGACGGACACAAAACCATCTGAGTGGATTCCTCGTAAAGCCAAACGTCCCCATGAAAAACACCAACGAGATGAGCAGACGTGTTCTGGAACGGATGGACCAGATGAGAAATCAGCCGGATACGATTATCGCACTTGAAAGTCGTGGACGCAGCCACCTACGTCAACCAAGAAGATCGTGGATGTCTGGCGAGGGAAAGGGACGAATGGATCCTTTTCTGCTGGGCCCGCACGCCACGTGAAGACGGGCCATCTAAGTAAGTAAATAAGTAATAACCCTCTTCTCGATTGAACAACTTCAAAAATGAACATTGCTATTAAAGTTACCCAGTTTTTAATGAACAGACTAGATATGCACAGAATAGAAAAGTGTGCTAGGATTCCATCATTTAGGCGGCAAAACAAGTACTCAGCTAATCGCCGGGTGCAGGTGGACCGCAAACTCGAGCTTTTCTGCAGGCGGTCAGCAGAATTTTGGGGGCGTGACCAAACTTTTAGCGGGCGGTGCTTCTTTCACTATTGCATATTCTGCCAGCGAGCAGCAATTCAACATTTTCTGCGGGCGCTCGTCAAATAATTTCTATTAGCGAGCGCTGGCCTAATTTTCAGCGAGCGCTCTGACTTTTGTTGCGCAGTTTCGGGAGTACGCCGAGCAGGAGTGACACTCTATATGGCAGAGGTGTCATTGCTGGTTTGATTGCCCGAGGCTGGGGTACTTTTTCTCAGCGGAAGGTACCTACGGGCTGTGAGGTCCTTTACAAAGGATCGTGCTGCACTCAACAATTTTGCATATTCTCGAGGAATATCCGCAAGAATGAGGTATTGCGCCGCAGCTGATCTATGAAAAAACCGCAATCGCTCTCCAAGCATTCGTTTAAAATATGGCCAACATTCTTCCAAATATCTGCAAGCGGACCTCAAGAAACCAGCGAACTATTTTTGCCGCTTGCTCATAAACTGCATAGCCGCCTGTTCTAGCGTTTATCTGAGTAGCAGCGAGGAACTACCTCAAGCCATCATTTATAGACTTTCCTGGCTAAACTAGCATGGCGGAAAGTTAGAAGAGAAATACATTAAATCATTGCTAGAAGCAATCAAGATACTCTGGTAATGATGCTAGATTTTTTGCTCTTATGGAAACCACTTGAACAGCTTTTCAGTGACTACAAATGCTCTTTCACCTCACCGGAAACGATTTCAAAATGTCAAAATGGATTAAAAAGTGTCAATTTTCTTCTTAGTGGCGTCAAGGCAGTCCTCGTAAAATCTATGAACAACCGCTTTTAGACTACAGAACAATTTTATAAGAGTCTTTTACAAAAATGGGTCCAAATAACGGGAAATTACCATGAAGCCTTACCACGCATAATTTTGCACTCTAAAGCAAAGTCAAGATCAGATATAACTGAGTTTTTCGAAGTAACGCAGCTGAGACGGCTTATCCAAGTTAAAGGCAGCGTCCCACCAGGTTGCGGGGTACTTGGCTTTGGTATTAATGGTAATAGTGAGCCCTAACTAAGCGACGACAGAATTTCGCAGCGCGAGAGGGGGTCTACGAAGTCTACAATCCCCTTCCCCTCCCCCCCCCCCCCAAGCGGCCCGAATCTTATGGTGGGCTCAAACGCAGCCCACAAATCAACTTCGAACTGCAAGGCCAGAGCACGCATAGCGCACACAGTCATGAGTGCACGGTCCCACAACGACTCTGCGTCTCTACCTTGCATGCATTTCGTACTCGCCCGCGCCTGCCGTAAGATTTGGGCTAATTGGGGGGGGGGGGGATTTGTAGATTTTGTAGATCCACTTTCGCGCTGCAAACTTCTGCCGTTGCTTAGTTAGGAACTCTGCTATCACACTGCTACCAGAGCCAGGTACCCCCATTCTGGTGGTACACTGCCTCTAAAGTTATTGCGCTCTTCTTCTAATGTTGTCCCGAGCAGTACAAATAATTCGGTCGATGCACATTGTTTGCTAAGTAAAAACAATGCAATTTTTAGGTGTGAAACATAACTTATCTTAGATGAACCGTTCAGGCATAGCAGATAAAGCAGATTCGAAGTTAGCGTTTTAGTTGTACCTAGTGATATGTGTTTTGTTGGAAACGGCCAAAGTCACCAAAAATTCTTTTCCTTGTGAGTGTTGTCGGTGCTTGCTGTCTAATGTGATCTTTCATCGTACAGTCTGCCCCAATCGGGATCAGGCCGAACCGTCGGCTGAATTTGCGCGCTCGTAGCGCTAGGGGTTTGCGCTGCATACGCGCGCTGTCGCAGAGAGCGAAGAGATTGAGGAGAGAGCAGACTAGCTAGACGCAGAAGTGGCGCGAAATCCTCGCGACGCGCACTCCCGCCAAGCCAATTTTGGCCTGGTTAGTATTGGGGCAGACTGTATTTTAGTCTGGTCCCACTAGTTTTGGCATTACTGGACGCTGGTTTTTGAGTGTTAGTTCTGGCAAACCAGCTAGCCTTTTCTAATCAACGTTCTTATTTGTTGCCGTTGTCATTGAGAAGACCACAGTTAAAAGCTATACCTGAACACATGCCTGCAATTCCGAATATAACTTGCTGGCATACCTGGTTCCGGCGTACTTTTTGAAGTATAAAAAGAATCCATATTTTGTCCCATTTCAACATTTCGCTGCCTCTCCACATCTGACAGCCCGTTTGCCCTTTACTGCATTTTTGAAAGCAGCATGTTCACCTGTACTTCCTCCCCAAAAATGGCCTAGCAACTAACTCAGACTTTGCAAAAATCGATAAATCATTACCGATCGATAGCAGTAAGCAACCTTTGATATCCAGCAGGCCTCGAATGAAAGCAGTGGTAAGTTCGGAGGAAATAGAATAATTCACACAAAAAAGCCTGTGTCGATAATCCACCCTTTGAATAAACCGGATTGGCGTCGGGAAGGCGATCGCTCGCACCTTTATCTATTATATCTATTAATATTTATTTACTTTTCGTACACCTTCTCTTAAAACCTTACACCACTGAGATCGAAAGTACATAATTGCAGTGAGACATATTGAAAGGTAGTAACACAAAAACCATGAGCAATTGACAAGAATAGAGGTCAATTGGAAGCCAATACTCAGAGAAAAGCAAATTAGGCGAAAAGAAAGGACAACTTGGCACCGAAATGCCAGGCGAACCTCGGTGAGGAGACGAAGAAAAACAAAACTTTAGATGATGTATACTTTAGATGTGACTGCATATAGGAGCGGATCCTTATATGGTATTTCTAAGCTGGTTTAACTTCTTCCACTCTTCTTCTTTCGAACTTCACAATGTACTGCTTGTATTTTGCTTTCCACTCTGCTAATTCCTTCCAACACCATTTTTCCATCATTCGAGTTCCTATCTCAACCGCTTTTCGAAGCGTTGCTTTTTCCTCGCTTTTCTTTTATAACCGCAACAAGTTCGAAAAGGGTTCGTTCCACTTAGAATCCTATACAGTGTCATAGGCTATTTTTTTTCATACCGATGACTTCGCAGTAGATCTTGAGCTAGATGCTAATGAGTGTGTTGGAAAGTAAGCGAATTATGATTTTGAAAAACTGTGGAAGCAGAAACTGGAGTAGAAACCGAGACAGGAACGAGGATAATCTGTGTAAGAATGTGATGAATAGTAAGTTTGATTATCAATGTCAGTGTGACAGAGCGGAGCCGGGTACTCCAGCTAGTAAAATTTATCTCACAACACGTCGTAAGTATACTCTGCTCTCTTGGAACCTATAATCTTTTACAGGACTGATCAAGCAGTAGGTAGTTAAGATAATTAGGAGTAACCGAGAAGTTACATCATAGCGACGCTCGATTTTGCAGCAATCAATTGGCATCACGAATATCCATCGCGAATGTTTGCAGATTAACAGTGTTTACAGCTTAGGTCTGCTTGATGGCCAACAATTATTTGAATCGACCAACTGTTGTCATTGGAACTAAGAAGCTTATAGCACTTCAGTTGATCTAAATGCAAGCTTTGTGGAGGAATCCAACATGGGATTGCAATATTATCACATGACTCCTCTACACTCAATGAGCAAGTAGCCCATGCATCTAACGCAAGGATTTCCTCGAATTATTGACAAATCTGGACCACTTATAGATGGCCAGCTGGATATTCAGGAAGCAGACAGTGGGAATGGAACCGGATAATTACTTTCTGTTTTCTTCTTGCTTATATATTGGCCAGATGTTTTTACGATCGATTTGCTGAATTACACATGAAAGAAAGACAAAACCTTGCTATACATGTTGAATTTCCATTGTTACCTTAGTTTGCGACGGTAGCTTCAGCCTGTGTCAAGAAAAGGCACGAAAAGATTTTTTTATATCTTATCATAGCTACTGCAATTCACGTGTATATCGATTGATACGTGTTCTTGAATCACGAAATGTCAAAGGTGACTTAAAAACAAAGAACAACAACAACAACGTTTGCCTTTGAAATTATATACCAAATAAGATAAATAAAGCGTCAGCTAAGTGTTTCGCGATTGTTTCCTATGTACACACAACATAAAATCACTTCTACATTACATCAATACATTTTATGGAATTGCGATAAACCTAAATATTGTGATATTCTAACTTTCTACCAGCGGTTCCTTGAAAAATTGCACAAGATATTTTTCCACGCACAACGGATCTTCGAAATTGATAAAGAAAGCACGCTGATGACCCCAGTACAAATTGTATATCGGAGCAAATCGTTTAGCTTTTAGCACGTCGGACATCATAGTTGCAAAGTACTCAAGCCTTTCCTGTGGACCAGGTGCATGGATCTGAATTATCAAGTTATCCCATAAGTTTCGTCCTTTTTGATTTTGACCCGCAATAACTCATACATTTCTTATCTAGTATATAAAAAATCGTAACGTTAGTGCAAAAAACATCAGAAAGCAGGAAACCGCAGTGCAATCCTGAAGCGCGCTGATGCAATCTAACACCTTCAATTACTGGTTCACTAGTTTCTAAAAAAGTTTCGAAGTGCCGTTCGATAGAGCAGAGCAAGCTGTACAAGGTGGCGCTCTTATTTTTGCACCAGCTTCATTCGCAGCGTTTGATGCCAGAAATCAAAAAGATTAAATTGCCCGAAAAATCAAGAAAAATCGTAACTCCGCCCAAGAAAATCCTACGAAAATCTCAACTTGTTCACGTATCACTTTCGTTAGACGTTTTTATGTACTATACTTTATATATAAATTGCTCTATTTTTTCCTTGGTTAGAATCGAAGAAAATTAGATTTTTCATGCCCTCGTCAAATTGATGCTGTATTGCTTCCACATAAGTAATTGTATATCACGAACCTTCAGAAGTAAAGCGTAATTTTTCAGCTTTCTACAAGCTTTAGTTCTCGAAAAATATGGAAAATTTACGTTTATACTTTTAGAAGCTTGTGGTATACAATTACTTATCTGGGAGCAATACAGCATCATTTTAGCAACACCATAAGAATTCTAGTTTTTTTCAAATTTTAGCCAAGGAAAAAATAGAGCAATGGTGTATATATACGTCTCATGTGGAAAGCGCATGCGTGAGTAAGTTAGGATTTCTGTGGGATTCTTTTGAACGGAGTTACGACTTTTTCTTAATTATACTGGCATTTGAGTCTTTTTGTTTTTGGCTTCAAACTCGCGGAAGATTGAAGCTGATGCAAAAGCAAGAGCTCCATCTTGTACAGCTTGCTTTGCTCTATCGAATGGTACTTTTAAACTTATCTAGAAATAAGAAATTTATGGGTTATTGCTGGTCAGACTCAAAAAGGACGGAATTTTGAGGCAACGTGATAGCGATTACTAAAAAGGACTGTAAGAAGAGATGTTACCTCCACATTCATCTGACATATTGTTATACCATTCCTTTCCAGTACATTGTCGACTGCTATCATAGGTAAGAGATCAAATTCCGGACCTTCGTTATCCATGATCAAATGGTCAATAACGGTGCGATTAACCATATCTCTAAGGAATGTCAACATATCTATACTGACAGCGTCCACTTCTCGGTAGGAACCTGAATTTGAAAATGTATCTTACTTTGATTGTACATATCAGGCCGTTCCATAAGTTCGTAATGTTTTCATTTTCGTCTTCATATCTTTGAGGAGCGGTTGATTTGCTGCAAGATGCGTATATCAATTAAAAGAGTTGATTGTGCTCTTTAAAGCTTGTCTACTGATGCCGGTAGAAAGCTGAATCACTCGGATCTTGCAGCTTTCAAAGATGGAAATCTTGAAAGGCAAAAAGCAGCAGATTCGACATTTGCGCATTTTTCCTCATGGAAACAAGCGCGATTTTTCGTCGATTATGGAACGTGGCGCTCGCACATCAATATGAGACAAAAAGGATTGGATGGTACAAAAGATCAGGGACTGAGCTGAACAAGACTTGTCTTTTCGAGGGACGGGCAGGACGTCTTGCACTGTAAATTGCTGTACAAGTAGGCAATGGTCAACCATACCGTAGGCAATCCAGCTGCACCGTCTAAACCACGTCCTACCGCAGAAAAACCCTAACAGACGGATTCGATGAGTTCATCTGCATGACGAAACGTGGCCTCATACGGCAAAACTGTTCTGCACAATTTGACTGGAAGGTACTTCAGTGCCTAACGTTCTCTCCAAATCTCGCTCTATCAGTTTATCAATTGCTCCTCTCTCTACCAAACCCCATGAATGGTACATGCCTCGATTTCAGTAAGTAGTTTGAGCGCTAGTTAGTTGGCTTTCTTGGAACCCGGCGCGCTGCCGTTTGGAAAATTGAGATTCAAAAGCAGACAGGAATGTGGCAAAAGGCAGTGCGCTACAAAGAGGAATATAATTTTGATTGGCCCGTAGAAACTCCCGTCAGGGCATATCCCCTAAGGCGGACCGGAGTCGATCTCTTGGCGCCTCAGTCCAGCAAGCTATCGATCTGAGTGTTGATCGTTTTTGCAGACATGGCAAAAGTTCTCAAGGAATAAACAGCAATAGTGTTTGTGCGGGTGCGGTCAAATGCATAAGGATTGTCATGCAACGTAGGCGGTCATGGCTCGAGATCGGCAAGTGTCATTTTTGCTGCATTGGCATGCAATCATTGACAGGGGTCACTAACAAAAAAGTCGCTATCAAGAAACCTTGATTATCCGGCGGCTGTTCATCAATTCTTTTCCTCCGCAGGTCCCCCGAATTTGTGAAATTTTGCGCAATCTCGTCTGCATTATTAGTTGTTTTGAGATGTAATATGAATAAGTTACTCAGGAGCCTTACGAAAATTTCTTCTGAGACTTCTCTTTAGCACACTTTTTCTACAGAAACATCATCACTTATATCATCTCCCATGATACGGCAGAGAGACCATCTCCCTGCCGAACTGCACCTATAGCTCACTTCTCAGGTGAGTGATGTTGCGTCCTTATAGCATGGGAGAATGAGCGGTCGAATCTCACATGAAAACCTCAGGAAAGATCATCTCCCCTGACCGAGCTCTACAGGCCATTAATTTTTACTGTAAATTGATGAGTTTGTTGGTTTATACGCTACGAGCTTATGGAATGACCATAAAGGGATGGTCTAGCGGTATTATTATCATAACTTATAATACGGGCTAAGGGTTGTTTACGTTTTTTTTTTGTGTGTATGTCTGTCTGTCTGTCTGTCCGTTACGAAATTCGTAGAGAGAGTTCCAGCCAACCTCTTGAGCCCAAATTTTGCATAGCACATCCTAGCAGCAGGAAAGTCCATTGTGCAAAAGCACAAGCGGATCCGTTAAATGGATCTGCTAGAAATTGCGCGTGAAACGGGTTCACTTAACTTCTGATCAGCAAATTTGGATCCGTAGATAAACTTTTTGCAAAGTCGCGGATATGTTTGACAAGCTGATGTACAAGCCATGGACTTTACTTACTTACTTAAATGGCCCGTCCTCACGTGACGTGCGGGCCCCAGTAAGAAGTCGCCATTGATCCCCGTCCCTCGCTTCGGACATCCACGATCTTCTTGGTCGTCGTCGGTGGCTGCGTCCACGAGTTCCAGGGGCAAAAATCGTATCCAGCTGATTTCTCAGCTGGTCCATCCGTTCCACGAACACGTCTGCCCATCTCGTCGGTGGTCTTCCTCGAGGACGTTTGGCTTCGCGAGGAATCCACTCAGATGTTCTTAGTGTCCATCTATCGTCCGTTCTTCTCATTATGTGACCGGCCCATCGGTGTTTCGCTTTCGCAACGTATTCCGCTGGGTCACGAAGACGGGACATTCTTCTCATATCCGTGCTGCGAAGTCCGACTAGATGTTGCTTGTGTCGGGTCATCTTCAGAAGACTGCGCTCGAGCGCTCTGTGGGTGGTCCTTAAAAAGCTTTCGACGTGGCTACGGTGTCGGCCCAAGTCTCAGCTGCGTAGCAGAGCGCTGGGAGAACGGTTGAGTCGAACAGGTGGGCACGAAGCTCCGGGTCCGTCAGTTGGTCGGTGGCTTCCTTCAGAGGCCCGAAGGCGGCCCAGGCTGCTCTTCTTCTCCTGTTAAGTTCTTCCCTCAAGTCGTTCTCCATGTTCATCGAACGTCCGAGATACACGTAAGAAGACGTCTCCATGATAGGGGTGCCTTCCAATTCCATTTCTGCATCTTCGCAAGGGGCGTTCTTCATGAACTGAGTCTTCTTCCGATTTATTCGCAGTCCGATCTTCTTCCTTACTTCGTTTAGTTCCTTTAGCATCGCCTCTGCTTCAGTGATACTACTCGAGAAAAGGACGATGTCATCCGCAAAACGAAGGTTGGATAGGAATCTCCCATCAACTCGTATGCCTCTCTCTTCCCAGTCTAGTGACTTCATCACCCACTGCAAGGCCGCGGTGAACAGCTTCGGCGAAATAGTGTCGCCTTGTCGAACCCTCTTCCCAATTGGAATGGTTAGGGGGCGATGGAATAGCTGCATCGTTGCTGTACAGTCCTTGTAGCAGTCGGCTAGTGTCTTCACGTAAGCTGGGTCCACTCCTTGATCGACTAACGCTGACAGAATGGCGTTCGGTTCGACGCTGTCGAAGGCTTTCTCGTAGTCGACGTGTTAGGACTGGAGGCAGTCGGTATTCCCGGCAGACTTCTATGACCCTCGAAACCGTCTGGATGTTCCATGCAGCTAGATCCCTTGCGGAATCCAGCTTGTTCTTGGGGTTGGGCTTCATCCAGTGCCCTATGCGAGCGAGGATAATCTTCGTGAAAAGCTTGTACAGCACAGGAGGCATATTGGACAGTAGTTCCGAAAATCCTCGTTCGCCCTTCTTGAAAAGAAGGACGGTTCTCGATGTTCTCCATGGTCGGGAATCTTCTCCCTCTGAAGGTAAGATGTCAAATGCAACGCTAGAACCTCGTGTAGACGGTGTCCCCCGGCTCGCAAAAGTTCGACGAAAGATGATCTGATTCTAGAGCCGGGACGTCTTCATGGTCTGTATCGCGGTACGCACTTCAACAGGTAGAATCCTGGTGGTACTTCTCCAGTGGGAACAACAGGCATTTGCACGGGTGTTGGTAAGCGGAAGAATTCCCTTCCGCTCTTCAATGGGGTAATTATTGACTAAAAAACAGTTTGAACTTTTGTCGCTAGGTAGGGCAACACAAAATATTGGTAAAACTTGTTAAGCTTGTAGATGGCATGCAAATGTCTTTTCTTGACACGTGGCAGAACGTTGACCCTCTTTCCTACGAAGTTGGGACCAAATACGTGCAAGAAAGAAGCATTAATTTGTTCGAAAAAATGGGTCGGATAACGGAAAAGTACCGGCTTCATAACTTGTTTTCGATAAGTGTTTAGCACGTAGAAAGAGAGAGCAGCTCTGCAGATAGCATTTCAAGACATAATCTGTAATGTGTTTTCGTTACGAATGGTCACGTCGTCTAGTATCCTGTTGCTTGCAGACCCTTGATCAAGTGTATGTGTGTGGCAGTTTCTGATGACTAGAGAGTTCGAGAAGTAATGCTGACTGGAAGTTCAACAAATTTTTCAACGTAAACATCTGCAATGTGGGCTCGCCGTACCCCGGGGATTCGCCTATGCTTGAAGTCACTCGCAACTAGCGAGAAGATACTATGGTCACTATCGATTGAACGGTGTTTTCAGTTGTGATCAATAACTCTGAATGAAATCAATCTACTTCAAGTATATCAAATTTCGAAAAAAAAACTATTGCATCTGTTTCAATCCATGGATTACTTGAGGGAGCAAATTCACGTTCATTCATAATGAACTAAACTTGAACTTCAAAAGCTTCTTTGCCGAGGTTCTAAGGTTATGCCCGTCTGATATCAGCTTTCAGATAGTGTACCCTTGGTGAGCAAATAGAGGAGTAGTCATAACATTTTCGTTCACCAACAAATCCCACATCTACTTTAATAAAGGAAAAGTATTTTTGAGTTTTGCCGAAGTAGCACAAGCTCCTTTCACTTATTAATTTCCAAAATAGATTGTCGTGTCCTGCAACTTCGGACAATATGGTGCGCCTATAGGCCTATATTTCCTATAGTTCCAGTTTCACCAGCTTACGATATTTTTGTAAATTATAAGAAGAATCTCTGACTCAATGGTAGTTTGGCACCACAGAAATAAAGGCATGTGCCAGTTTTCATCCAACCTACTGTCACAAGGCAAACAATATGTGCGTACGGTTGGAACCTCAAAGGTAGCTAATAGGGACTAATCAAGCAAGAGGGGGGGGCTCAAACAACCACGAGAAAGCACCTATTACAATCACAGTAAACTCAGCATCAGTAGCAATGAAACGATCCAGCTACAGGCGCACAAACACTTTTTCGAAGATCGTATATTCTAACATCAATTTGAAAGAAAAAATTCTATTTCAGTTTCTGGAAAGAAAACTCCGGTAGGGAACACAAGAAATTCTGTAAATGTTAAGTGGGCTGTTCAAAACCATCCATAAAGATTATTGAACAGCTCATGCAGTTGCACTCATTGCACTGATTCTACTGATTTTTCTAGAATTATCAATTAATGGTGGGAGGTTGAGTCACATGAACAGCCTTACTATGTCAGATCTGA